GTTTAGTGGGATCATGTTGATGAGCTTGCAAAGTAGGCAGCTCAGGTGAGGGCAGGAGAATCATTGGAGGCTAATAGTAATTAGTCTGTGATGAATTGACAGTTTAGCCTAGGATAATGATGGGGAAACTGAGGAAAGCTGAAAGTAGGACTTTTCAAGGGAAGAGCTACTTTCTCAATAACTTTTTGAATATAGAGTATTAAGTAAGAGCAAAAGAGCCAAAATTTAATGCATGACAATGAACTGCCTATATGGCCAGTGGTGGTGGGGGGGTAGGGTAGATCTTGTTTGAATAGGAAAATGGAAATCAAATAAGTTGAATGTATTCAGGTGATGTTTAATCTAGAGCTCTTAGAGTTTTGAAGGATATAAGAAGACCATCAGATCTAGGCCTGGCGTCAGGTGGGTAGGGTTACTATTTTATGAAGAGCTGAAGTCCAAAGAAACCTGAGATCACACAGCTACTTTCTGATGGCAACTGAAAAATCCATTCAGTTACACCCAGAGCAATAGGAGAGCCCCCCCAAAGAGGGAAGAAAAATTTCACCAAGAACCATAGAAGAGCATTAGGGTAAAGACCTGGGCTTTGGGGATTACTCACAATTAAGAGAGGAAGGGAGGTCGAGAGAGAGCAATAGAGAAGAATTTCATGGATAGAGAGTTTCCAGACTATTCAAACCTCATGTTACATTTCACACCCAGTGGTTTGCCCTGTGACTTATGTGGGTATATTTTCTCACGAGGTTGCTGAGATAGTAAATCAGAAGAGCTTGTGCTGAAGGTTGACATGTTTGAAGGTATATTGAATTATTTCAGTTATTTCCCAGTATACATTTGTGTCTTTTTGTAGAGTTTACATGTATTTCATGTCTGGCGCCTCAGTGTTGTCTTAAGTTTTCAATCAGTCTTCTATTTGTGCCACAGAACCCATAGAAATGGATGTTAGTGGTTAGGCATCTTGGCGGAAAGCAGACTTCCTAATGGAAATTTCTCAGGGCCTACAAGACACACACACTTCATTGTAATCTTAAAAGTGAGTTATTTCTTGATAAGTAACATATGTCCATGATAGAAAATTTGAATATCACATGCAAAGTAAACCTCCTTAAGTCTGTGACCTCACATCCAAGTCTCTTCCTTGGAAGTAACTTCTGTTACCAATTGTTGTGTATTGCTTTAACTGTATTTTATGCATATTGTCAGCATATGTATGTTAAATGATTTTAAATTGAACTTTGAGCATATGCAGAGTAATTATAATTGACCAATATCCATAAACTCCTACTTTTCAAATGCATTTTATATCAAGCTTTCTCCATTTTCTATTAACTATTAACCAGCCAATAATTTTAGCACATGTCTATTTTGGAAAGCAAGAAGGGGGCTCACTGCACATTCCAAACACCGGTATGAGGACAAGACCTACAGCCAGTGCATAGATATGCTCCTACTTTAAGTACATCCACTTTATATTTGACCATGTGCTGTAACGGGAATATAACTTTGGGGTATAGGAGGGTCTCTGGCCTGTTCCTTGCCATTCCTGAGCATCTCCTGTGAAGGAGTCTCTGCACCTTCTGAGACACCCCTGTGTGCCCCATTTCCATGCCTGTGTCTGTTCTGTCACCAATGCCTATACCTTTGAGAGGAGAATCCTTTTTCCATTCTCCGTTCCCTTTCTTACCAAGAATTCCCATACTGCCAGATGCCTTGTCTGCCTCGTGAGGTTTTCCACCAATCAGTCTCCTTCCACTCCTCCTGCACTCCCAACCTCACATTTCAGATTCTTTATGTGGACTTTCCACATTTGAGTGAGATCATGTGTTGGATATTTTTCTTCATTGCCTTCAATGAATATATATTTTACAATGTTGATTATATTTCACCATTTTCTTTTTACTAAGTGTGTTTTGGGATAGCTATTCTGTCTCTCACTTCTTTATTATTATGCTGAATTCTCAAATTTATATTTTATCTTTCTCTTGTCATGTGTCCTTCACTATTTCTTTCTAAATCTTATTTATATGCAAAGTAATTAATTTGTTTAAATGTCTCTTGCAGCGAAGATTTAATTTATCTTCTTAGGTATCTTGAAATTCTGCCTTTTGTTATTTTTGCCTCATAGAGGCTTTTTCCATCAGCAGGAATGAAAGCCGTCAATAAAAATCAATTGCTGACACAATGACTGTATAGAGGTTTACCATAATGTGTATTGGAAATGTCTTTGAAATCCTTTTCCTGAATGGAAGGTGCCATGGCTTGTGTTTTATGGCTTTCTAATGTTAGACCGTAATCTCATTTAGCATTTTCCCAAAGTGAAAATGTTGCATTAAGGCAGCATAACAAGCATTGCAGATCAATATGAGGCAGAGCTTTGCTCTATAGATTAATCCAAGAAAAATGTGCCTGAGTCTCCTCCAGGAACTGGGGAACAGTTATGTTGATCTCCACTCCTTCCCTTCTTTCTGCCATCTACTCATCAATGCAGGTTGAAAAGTATGCAATAAGAATGACATATATTTGAAATTCTTTACACACACACACACACACACACACACACACACACACACAGAAATGCTCACACTCCAGACCACTGGATAGGAAGTCAAGGGCCCTGGGAGTGAGTAGCATTGATTTGTGGTGAAAAGTATATTTTTGACACATTTCAAAAGATAAATAACTCAGGACTTTTACTTGTATGATAAATAGCTCAACTCAGGGTAAATGCTTATATACAACTTAAATGACCACTTTCTAAGGAGTTCATAGCATTAGACAAACCCCATTGTGAATCTTCTTTTTAGAGTCAAAAAGCCCATCTTCTGAATGAAGTGCAGAATGTGGAAGCTAATTCTTCACAGTTTTTTCCTCTAGGTAACAGGGAAGGGCTATATATCTAGTCAGGATTGTTCTCATCTCCTCTCCCCATACTCCTTTTAAAGCTAAGATATGTTGGGCAGGGGATGATCCTCAACACTAGGAGTATAAATGTGTTCATACTCCTGCTTTCCTGGGAACTAATAGTATGGGCATTAGTTGTGTGTGTGCGAGGTTTGGCTGACCTCTTCGAAGTCATATTTTATTCAGCATTTACCCAGATGTGCATCTTGCTGAAGTCTGGGCCTCTGCCCTTGGAAGCACAGCTGGCTCCTTTTAGATGCTGATGCTCACGGCAGGAGATTAAGGAAATCCATGTCCAGAAAAATCCACAGACATCTGAACTTTGAAATCTTAAAGAGAATTGAAACTCCTGGGATTGGATTTCAATTCTGTTCTTAGATATTTGGCAGAGCGGTGAGGGAATGAATAAAAAATAAAAGCAAAGCTATGTAAAATTTGTGGGATTATTTTTCCCCTGTATGTCTGCTTTCTCTAGAGGGTAGTAAGAAGTAAATTCCCTCAGGGACTCGTAACATGGTTTGCATTTCAGTTTTCTATTGTAGCAAAATATATATTGGCTTAGTGTGTTGGATAAAAGTAATGAGGAGACAAATCGTCACCCAGGGGTTTCCTTATTGATGAGAGTACAGCCCTGTGTTCTCTAGGGGTTTTTTAGAATCCATTAAATTTAAAATAATGCTATTTCAAGTTTACAGGGGCAATGACTAAATTTAAATTTCAAAAAAAAAAAGAACTAGTATGAGAGACTGGAAACCTTTTGTATTAAGCAAATCTAATTTTTGGGGAAAAAAATATGAATGTCAAGATCAAAAATGATAATAGTATGTATTTTCTGTGTGTTAATTCTTATAATCAAAATTCCTCTACCATCTTAGGACTATTTTATTTTGCTTTGTATATTCATTTGATTTATTTTGTTATTATCATTTTTCAAGTGTATATGATAAACTTTTTTAGAAGTTCTTAAGCTAGGTACTGCATATTCACTCTAACTAAATTTTGAGATTTGTAAGTATAATTAGAAAAATGTGAGCCCAGGAATTAAAAATTATTTTTTCTCTCCACCTATTTGTATTCTCAACAACTAATTGCATGACTTCTCTAAGAGGTATCTTTATCAGTATCGGAGATCACAAAGAAAATGAGACAGTTCTTGGGATTTGCATCCTAATAAATGTAGGCTAGTAGTGCAAATAGTGTACATAGACTATAGTCAGCATTACATGCCCGGTGAAGGACTGAAAGACATTAATACAAGGTCAGTGGAGTCACCATAGAGAGGGATAGACTCTACCATGATGGGAGAGAGAGTGAAAGCTATTAGGGAAGGCTCCACTTAAAAGACATGGTATTTTCCACGTATATGGATGGGAGTTTGGGTGCAAAGCATTCCCAAAATCAAGAGCCAGCCATGTGAGCTAAGATGTGAAGGGACACATGAAAACCAAACCCGGAAATGCTGCAGATGCCTGGGGAATGAAGGCTAAAGAGTTTGCAGGAACCCAATGAAGACCTGCTGGTTGACCTTGTATTTTATTTACAAAGCAGGAGGGAGTGAGGCTGTCTCAGATTTATGTATTAGAACCTTTCTGGAAGAACCTTCTTCTGGAAGGCAGGAGCTGGAGGTGAAAGCTAAGAGTCAGAGAGAGCAGTTGGGGGGGGGGGGGGGGGGCGGTCACAGAATCCAGGATGGAAATGGGAGGATAGTATGTATGGGGGGGAAGGGGGGGGGGGAGAAACAGAACATAGGGTCTCAAATTTTGTGAGTGTTGGGGTGGAAGAAAGAAGATATGGCTCTCAGGCTCCCGGTCCAGCTGGCTGGGCCGAAGAGTATGTGTGCCATTTGCCTGTCGGGGCTTTGGTCTGGCAGGATGGTTTTAGTGACCAGAGAGGCTTGTGGTGGTGTCAGCTAATGAAACTAATTTCTGAGAAATTGTTTGCTTTGTATATCTTTCAAGGTTGAAGAAAATTATTTCCCTTGAATTTTGTTTTCTACATTTGAAACATTTATCTTACTTAATGTTTTATACATTCTTTGGCCTCTACCTTTACTCTGACTGAAAACCATCTGCCTCAGTGATCCCTGTTTTTGTTTCCAGGCGGTATGAGGTTCACCCAGTCTGTGCAGAGCTGCAGACCAAGATTCTCCAGTGCTACCGCCAGAACGCCCAGCAGACCCTCAGCTGCTCTGCGCTGGCCAGCCAGTACATGCGCTGTGTCAATCAGGCCAAAGAGGTGGGTGTGTGTCCACTCCCGGCACCAGTGGGAGCGTGCCCAGTGTCATGGGACAGTGGTAAGGATGTCACGAGCTAATGTGTGTGAAAAAGCTTTATAAACCAAACTAGTCATCATCATCATCAAGAATTGCCATGACAAGTTGGTTATGCTGTAATCAACTTCCATCCAGATGGTTGTAAGAAAAGCCTATATTCGCCTCGTGCTCAACTCCTTACTTTCAGAAAGAAAGAAAAAAGATTCTTACTACACTAATACTTTTCCCAGTCGTTCTGAACTTTTGTCCTCTATAGTAATTGTGTCTTCAAGGTCATTCTCCCTATATCTGGGCCAATACTCAGAGCCAGCAATGAGGAAAGGTACAAGTTTAGAGGCCAGCAGCTTCAGGTCTATAAGCAGCAAGTAGTCATGTGGAGAGCCTGGTTGAAAACAAACAAACAAACAAACAAACAAAAACCTAAAACAAAACCTACCAGTCAGTCTTCTACCAGTTGGTAGAGTCCACTCATTTGGCCAGGGAAAGGGAGGCCAGAAGCAGGGTTTAGGAAATATTTCTATCACTTTTTATACCAGAGCTATATTCTTCTCTGGACCCTTCATTATCAGAATAAGATGATGTGTTTTCTCTCATTTGGCCAGGGAAAGGGAGGCCAGAAGCAGGGTTTAGGAAATATTTCTATCACTTTTTATACCAGAGCTATATTCTTCTCTGGACCCTTCATTATCAGAATAAAATGATGTGTTTTCTCTCATTTATGTACTTTAGAAAGCTCATGATGAACTCTAAAGCCAGCTATCAATTCTGGCCGGTTGCGTAATTGCCTATTATTTAACTGATTTAACCATTGGATATAGGCTGTTCTGAGACAAAAATTGTTGGAAATCTTGATTCTTTCTGCTGCTAAACTCCCTGGAGTTGACCTTCTAGCCCAAATAAATCTGGTGTTTGAGCTACACAGCATGCCTTTCCACAGTCTGATTTGCTGTAGTTATAATAATACCACTTAACATACATTTCTTTTTTTTTAATATATATTTTATTGATTTTGTACAGAGAGGAAGGGAGAGAGATAGAGAGAAACATCGATGAGAGAGAGTCATCGATCAGCTGCCTCTTGCACACCCCCTACTGGGGATATGCCTGCAACCAAGGTATATGCCCTTGACCGGAATTGAACCCGGGTCCCTTCAGTCCCCAAGCCGACGCTCTATCCATTGAGCCAAACCGGTTTCGGCACTTAGCATACATTTCTAACATTGCATCTGATGGGAGGCTCGGTATTACCTGCACAGCTGGGCAATAACAGCAATGCTAGTGGTCCTCCTTGGCCACGGTTTCGCTTTGCACAGTTTCAGTCACCTGAGGTCAGTTGAGGCCTGAGAATATTAAATGGAAAATTTCATAAGTGAACGATTCTTAAGTTTAAATTGCATTGTTCTGAATAGTGTGATGAAACTGGGTGATCCCACTCCATTCTTCCTGGGATGGGAATCATCTCTTTGTCCAGTGTATTCTCACTGTACACACAGTACAATAAGATATTTTAAGAGAAAGAGAGAAGGGAGATCACATTTACTTAGCTTTTATTACAGTTTGCTATAATTGATCAATTTTATTAGTTATTGTTGTTATTCTCTGTCTAATTTATAAATTAAATTTTCTCATAGATATGTATGTGTGTATAGGGAGAAACAGTATAGTATGTCTCTGGTCTGTGCATCCACTGGAAGTACTGGAACATATTGCAGATAAGGGAGGACTACTGTTGCCAAGATGATTAAAAGCCTATGTTGTCTTTGAAAGCCTGATGGCTTGAGGCTTTTTTTCTATTTCTTATAATGACACTTGTATAACTCTTAATAGTATGCCAGGGAATTTTTCTTTAAAGTTCTTCAATAGAAATAATGTTGGTATTGTTGTTAGTACATTGTATTTGCAAAAGCAGCTTCTGATAGGCTCTTAACAAACCTGGCGTTCAACGTTAATACCAATGGAGCATTTAGGACCTGCAAGTTGACACGTGGGTTTTTCTGACCTGGTATCAGTGCTGTATGGAGGTGGAGGTGGCAGCCAGGCTGGGAATGGCGTGATAAAGTAGATGTTTGGGGGCTGGTATCTAATGCAAGTACCTGTCTCCCCAGCATGATCTGTAGCATCACTGTAGTGGCAGCTGCAAGGGCGTCTGGGGTATTGACTCCATCCTGCCTGTCTGATATGTTGAATCATCCTCACATAGCCCCATGAGATCGATGACATACATCTATAGGATAAAACACAGTTAACTGTGACACAACCAGATAGCCCATGTGGAGCAATTGAGAGTTCAAGTGGGCAGATCTGAGTTTATATCTGAGCTGTGTCTCTTTCTATTGTAGCTCTCTGACCTTGGGCCTTGATTTTTCTAGTATGTGATTTGGGACAATGTTATCTCCAGTGTTGTTATGAGGATTACATTTATATAAAGTATTCATAAATGTTATTTTTTTCCTTTTTTCCTCGGTTGTATATTTCATGCTGAAACCAACTGAATGGATTAGACAAATATATCAGATTATTGGTAGTGATTCCAAGAGACCCTCCTGTCCCCTACCCAGCCTGCAACATGATTCAACACTGTTTTCAACAAACATCTTTCCAGTACCTATTGTTTTCACCTTTCTTCTGTTCAGGTATTAGGGAGTATATAACACTGGTAATGTAAAAAGATAGATGTCCACAAAACGTTTTATCCTAAAATGGGCAACACTGAAATGGGCAAGAACCAAGAGACATTAATACCCTGTATTTATTTCTAAAGTACTTTAGATTTCAAGGTGACTTCACTTGTTTTTTGGTGTTTGTTTGTTTGTTTGTTTATCATTACCCATAGATATGTTTTACTGATTTCAGAGAGAGAGGAAGAGGGAGGTACAAGAGAAACATCAATCAGTTGCCTCCTAAATGAGCTCCCAGCAGGGATCGAGCCCGCCACCCAGGCATGTGCCCTGACCGATGCACAGGATGATGCTCCAACCAACTGAGCCACCCAGCCAGGGCCTCTTGCTTGTTTTTGATGACAACCTGAGATGTAAAGAGAGATGGTTTTGTTCTCTTCATTTTACAGTTGAGAGAATTGAAGCCCAGGGAAGTCATGATGGTAAATTTAACAACTAGACCAAAATATATCTTGCCATCAAAACAAAAAATTTAAAAGTAGTGTTTGACTTTTGAGTTGGGTGAATGAAGGTGCATCCATCAACCACTAATACAGATATATGAGGGAATGAGGGGAAAATGTGTACAGTAATTATGACTTGAAGGGAAACACCGTGAAGATCAAATTAAGTAGTTGGTACTAGAGGCTGAGGGTAATCAATGGGGGAGTGGGATTGCAAAGGGCAAGCAGAGGTGTAGTTCCTCGCGGCCCCATTTTAAGTCTTCGCCAAAATGGCCACTCTATCAGCGCTTGGTGCGTACTCTTCCTCTGATACCACCTTTTCCTTTTTCTCCTTGTCAAGTTAGTCTGAGTGCTGTCCCCAGTGCTCCTGTTTTTAGAAGAGTCTGACAGGACATCTGGTCTTGGTCATCTACTGCAGTTCTTGCCTGGGCCCCACCCCTTCTTACGTTTCCTTGTTACATCCAGAGAGCAAGCTGGACACGCCAACACAGAAAGCACTGACCATGACAACAGCCCATTAGGTTGCCTTGTCCATTTCCGGTGTAGTGCATGAGTTTTCCCCTTGGAATAATTCCAACAGCCAAGTCCACTCCACTTTTAAATGACTCATAAGATGAGGCTTTCACTGGTGTCCTTGGGGCATTGTTCTGAGGCTAATAGACTTTAATGATAGGAAGATTTCCGGATATTCCTCAGCCTTACTTTTCTCCTTTCTTAGTCATCCACGGATTCACATCAGTCTTTTTTCAGCTATTCTCGAACAGTTCCTCAAAGGTTGACAGGAGACCATTAGACTGCTACTTCCAATATAATAGGTATGTGTCTTCATGGAGGTAAAGAGATATTAAATTGCTATAATTATTATATCAAAGGCTTAAAAGCTACTGGCCAACTAGATAAGATACAACATTTAAAAATATAGTCTATCAAATGGTAGACTTCTGTCTTTCATTTCTTATATCTGCTTAGCCTCATGGCTTTCTAAAAACTCCCCAAGATTGAACTACCTGTTCTTTCTTTACCGTTAAAACCCTATTCTCATTCAGTCTTCATTCTCCTACCTTACAGGAGACTGGAAGGGAGGGGGAGGTGGGAAGCCAATAGTAATTGCCCACTAGTGGCCCAAATGTCCCCAGATTCTGTTTATAAAAAAAAATGTGTGTGGAAAGGGCTTGCTCCCAGATCTGCATTCCTGTGCTACGTGGGACACCCCACTCACTGTTCCTCAATTTACTTGCAGAATCCAGCTCCTGGGGGTGGGGGAGGGTAGAGATTGTAAGCATTCCAGCTCTAGTCTCAACCCTGCTGATATTGACAGAAACCTACAGAGCCAGCTAGACTCCTGGGAGCAGTCTCTGTCCACCGGAGGGTAGTTTGTGGGAAGTGCGGTAGCCAACACCAGCCTGGTCATGGCCACCTGGGCTTCAGTTGCTTCCTTGGGAAATGAAGTATTTGAACTAGGTGATGCACGAGGGCCTTCCTCTGGTATCTGGGACACTTCTCCACCCACGTGTGAGAGCAGGAGGCAGTGCACACAGGCGCACCTGTCGGTGAGCACTTGGATGTGAGGACATGTGGCTCCTATGTGGGTACCAGCAGCGCCCCTGCTCCGGGGCCTCCAGCCTGTGCAATTCTGTCAGCCGGGAGCTTCCACTCAGGAAGCACAGCTGCATTTCCCATCGGTCTGCCTGTCGTCTGGCCTCCCACAGCTGCACCCTTTCCTGGGAAGTTGTACACCTGTCAGCCCTGGGCAAGCAAGGTGACAGAATGAAGTTGTGAGGGGGTGAAAACCGTTTCCGAGTCTCTCCTAAGTCAGTGAAGGGAAAAATGGGAATCTCAGCG